AGATCCTCGAGATCCTCGTAGGATGTGGAATCAGCTCTATTGGTTGCCCACAAGTTGCCATTTGCATTCTGCTTTTGCACTCAGGACTGCAGAGTAAGCCTGCCCTAGGAAGAAAACTAACCCACTTCTGTGCCAGAGGTGAGAGCAGCACAGCCAGCAGAACTCTCCAAGTAATAACTAAGTTTATAATAAATTTCTTTTGGGAGATGTAGCTATTTAGAAGTAATTTTTGGGATCCAGCGCTGTGGCCTAGCAGCTAAAGTCCTCACCTTGAATGTACCAGAATCCCATATGGGCACCAGTTCTAATCCCGGCAGCACCCCCTTCCCATCCCGCTCCCTGCTTGTGGCCTCGGGAAGCAGTCGAGGACAGCCTAAAGCCTTGGGACCCTGCACCCGTGTGGGAGACCTGGAGGAAGTTCCTGGCTCCTGGCTTCGGATCAGCACAGCACCAGCTCTGGCAGTCACTTGGGGAGTGAATTATCAGACGGAAGAGCTTCCTGTCTGTCTCTCCTCCTCTCTGTATATATCTGCCTTTCCAATAAAAATAACTCTTAGAAAAAAAGAAGTAATTTTTGAGCTGTTTCATGAACCAAAATATTACAAATGGCTAAAACTTACTTCTGCAGTTTAACTGTTTAATAGGAATTTAGCCAAAATTGAGCAAGAACATAAAACATAAAACATAAAAAACAACTTTAAAAGGTTATGTTACAATAGCAGGATGCAAACGAACCATTACCTATTGCTATTTGAAGCAGCTACTTACTGCTATTTTAAGCAAACTGGGACTACTTTTCGGGCTACAATTCACTCTGCTAAATCACGATTTAAGTCAGTCGAGGCTATGTGGGATCGGCAGCTGGGCGGATTATCAATAATACTAGGTCTGGCCGATCACAACTCGCAATGTTTTGAAGTAAAGATTTTTCATAAGGCACGAAAAAAAAAAAAAACCAGATGCAAAATTCTGTTTAAACAGCTGGTCTAGCAGTCCAAGAAACCGTTCGTTAGCAACAGATGAGGACACTGGTGACACTTCCTTGTATTGAAGAAAAGCGGCTACCCTTGGAGGTGCCACACTATACACCTGAAATTGTCCGAATGCCAGTAGCGATCTCACTGTACTGATTACCTCGTACCAGAACGGTCACTCTTGGGAAGAGCTTTGTTCTTAGAGCTCTAGGTTTAGCTTTATGCTTTGAGACTATGTTGCTACCAGGTCTTGGTTCTGGTTAGACTTTGTTGGCAGACTTTAAGACTATAGAGGACCCAGCCCCTGCAAAAAGTCCCCTGCGAGGCCAGCCCTTTGGCCTGATTTGTTAATGCCTGTCTTGCAACTGTGCTGGATTCCACCCAGGATGTAGTTATTTCTACTTTTCCAATTGGCAGCCCTCTTTTGCTGCCAGATCACTCAAGCCTCAATGACCTCTAAAATGCAAATGTTCTTAAACTGAGTTCCTTTCTTGCCTGGCAGCTTCTCCTCTTACACTAAGGTGCTCTGTGTTTTCCAATCATTACCTGTTCGATGCCATCCAAAACTGCAAGTCTGCTGGGCCACACCTGCTCAGTTCCTCCTCTCAGACTCACTGAAACCCAATCTCAAATGAATGACTCATTGGAGTTGAACCTGAGGATCTGACAACACTCCATCCTACTGTATTTCCCTTCCCACCAAGCATATCTAACTACCCACCTCTACACCACCATTTCAGGGAAAAAGCCTGAGCAGCTGGGATTCTTCATCCCTCCATCTCCTGTTCAAATCATCGCGTATGCAAGAATGTCCAACAGAACCCATTTCTGCTTGCTTCTGTTTAAAGGTACTGTCATCTTTCAACACACAAAGGCACACCACCCTGGCTACCCTGGAAGTTCAACTGCCAAAAGCAGAGTGGTTCCCAACAGAAATAACCAGGCGGAGAACCGAGTCAAATAAACACTGCATCCAGAAACTGCATCCAGAAACAAAGGATGTGCACACAAAAATATGTGCCAGCTTCTGTGGCCTGAGGACAAATCACTCCGGCTGTGTATCTTCCCACACATATGCTAATGCCCGTTTACCTCAGAGGGCAGGAAAAAAAAAACCCAAACGGGTAGGAATATAAGAGAAGATAGCCTCTGCTTTTAGAACAAGCCGTTCTAAAGCAAGGACTTCCTGAGAACTTGCCAGGGAGAGCCAGCTCTGCACAGCTTCTTGGTGTCAAGCAGCAATTACTCTCTGAATTGACACTGTGAACATTTCATCCTCAAGCCAAACATACTAAGTCTTCCAGCCTCACCACTGGTGTTGGCAACTCAGCAGAGGGAAGCATTCCTTACCTCTCCGCTGGAAAATGGCTAAGATATCCAGAAAGTTAATAGAGTTTATTCTGTAGTGACCAGGTCATAGAGCCTCAACTCCACACCACCATAGAAATGAGGACTCGGAAGAGCTAAGCCGGATGTCAAAGCTGGAATTCCACAACTGGAATTCCCTCAAGGCATATCCTGACAAGCCACTCAACCTGGTTTCTCAATTCACAGGTTCAGATTCTCAGTTTTACATAATGGATTCCTTCAACAGTCTCCAACCCTACTTGCTCCTTCATCTCCTTGTATGTCATGCTTCAACTATAGGCTATGAAGTTAACACTAATAAGCCGTTTCTCTGCTACCCTAATTCCCACAGCCCTGGCCACACTTTGCTTTATCCTATACTCAACAAGGATTGCTTCATCTTCAATCCCTAGACTGTTTGATAAAGCTTGAATTTCTGGGGCCAGCACTGTGGCTCAGCTAATCTTCCAACTTCAAGCACCAGCATCCCAAAGGGTAACTGGTTCATTTCCCAACTGCTCCACTTCTAATTCACCTCTCTGCTTATGGTCTGGTAAAGCAGGAGGATGAGCCAAAGGCTTGGGATTCTACACTCACGTGGGATTCCACAAAGAAGCTCCTGACTCTCAGCTTTGTTTTTTTATTTTGTTTTATAAAAATTTATTTATTTTTATTGGAAAGGCAGAAGGCAATATGGAGAGAAAGATCTTCCATCTGTTGGTTTACTCCAAGTGGCTGCAACAGTCAGAGCTGAGCCGATCCAAAACCAGGAGCTTTTTCCAGGTCTCCCATGCGGGTGCAGGGTCCCAAGGTTTTGGGCCATCCTCTCTGCTGCTTTCCCAGGTAGGGAGCTGGATGGGAGGTGGAGCACAAACTGGGACCCACGTGAAATCCCAGTGCATGCAAGGCAAGGACTTTAGCCACAAAGCTACTGCACTGGGATGGATCAGCTTTGGATCAGCTCAGCTCTGGCCATTGTAGTCATTTTGGAGAGTGAACCAGCGGATGAAGATCTCTGTAGATCTGCCTTTCAAGTAAAAATAAATAAATCCTTTTTAAAAAGATAAGCTTATTAAGATAACAATACAAACAACAAGAACCAAATGCTTGAATTTCCACGCCCTTATCATGGCAGCACTTCAAAGTCAACCTCTTCCAGCAAGGCTTCCAACACAGACACTCAAAATCTCATTCAGCAGATTGCTAAGGGCCATGCCAAGTGCCTGGGAGCAGGAGTAGGAACTGGCCCTTTATTGACAATCTAGGCTGAGCACTTAGGCTGTGTAACTGTCTCCTCATCTACAGAAATGGGAACAACCAGCGCCACAGGCACACAGATGTACAGCGCTAGCTCTCTGTCTCAGCCCTGAGCCCTTCGGAAGAGCCTGAGCTATCTCCATCCCTCCTGGCAATCTTGACAATCCTGTGTATTTAAAGTTTGCTGGGCTCTGCCGCAGCCCTCCTCTCCAAGGGCTTACAACTTTCTTTTTGGTAGAACGCACTTCATGCGTGTGACTCTGGAAATGTTAACCTTTCCCCTCCCCGGCAGGTACTAGCTCTCTAGAGTAACAAGACCGTCTCTGCGAGGACTTGGGCTCTGGCAAACTCCCACAGACTCTTCTAAGCTGCAGGGCTTGGGGACTCTTCATAAACAGAAAACAAGACTAGCGTACCAAGAGCACACCTTCCCAGCACGTGACTCCTGTGAGAACAACCGCCTGTGAGTGTGTATACACCATGTCACACTGCTCACTACGGGCACGGCAACACGGAAGCCCTCAGCACTCCCTTCGCCGCCTTCAGCCTGGTATTGTACTGGACCCAGTTACAGAAGCAGAACGCAGCCTGCGAGATTTCCCCCGATCTAACCATTTTAGGAGTGGCAATGAGAAAAAGATTCTCATCGGCTCCCAGTGACCATGACTGTTCTACGCAAATTTCAAACCTTGAGCCATTTAAAAATTAACCAGGTATCCAGTATCAACGCAGCGCCGATGGGTAAATGGCAGCACCACAAGACGGCCGGCCTGCTGCTTTCCAATGTCGAGCCAAATACCAAAGTCCAGAAACCCTGACAGCGCGAGAGCTCCAGTTTACTGCCGGAAAATGCCACCTTTCCTCTCCCCTTTGGCCTTACTCCATTTTTCACTAACCATCTCTCTGCATTCGGAAAACTTCGAGAGAAACCCGTTTCCATTAGCATATACAGAATCATGCCAACTGCTCACGAGATAATGAGCCCATTCAAAACGCGAAATCGACCAAGAAAAATGGAAAAGCAGCACAGGGGCCCGGGACTGCAACGCTCACTCCATTGCTACCCTTTCTGTTCGCACTCGAGGTTCAATTCACACGTTCAAGATGGTGACTCCTCCCGGAGACCCACAGCGCCCGGGACCTGCCCAGGGCCGGGGGGCCGTCACCACCTCCCGTCCTCGCGAGGGGCCCAGATGGGGAGCGCCGGCCTGGGCGAGCCCCTTTGTCTGCTCCACCAACCGAGCCAGAGAGGAAGGAAGAAGGGAGGGAGCGAGGCAGGGGAGGGGAGGAGAAGGGAGGAGAGCGACTCCCTCCCGGCCCCGGCCGCCAGACCGAGACCGGGCGGGGAGGTGGAGAGGAGGACCGGCCGCCCGGCCGCCCGGCCGCCCCGCCGCGGGTAGCGTGCGCGCCAGCCGCCCTCACCTCGTCCTCCTGCTCGCTCCGGAAGCACAGGCACGCCGCCCGCTTCTTGAAACCCTCGCGGTCATAGGTCCGCGTCTGGTTGGGCTTGAACTTCATCATAGAGGCGCGATCCTGCTGCTGCTGCTGCTGCTGCTGCTGCTGCTGCTGCTCCTGCTGCTGCTCCGGCCGCCACCCCGCCGGGGAGTTAGGGCCGAGGCTGGATAGGGGCGCGGAGACGCCGGGGCGCGCTGACAGGCCGGTCCGTCCCGGAGCCCGCGGCTCGGCCGTTTCGACTCGGTGCGGGAGGTGAGCGCCGGTCACTGCAGTCCAGGGCCCGGGAGGGAAGCGCCGCCTCTGCCCGGACGTCTGCCGCTCTCCATGGAGCCCCGCCGTCCGCTCGCCTCCACTCCTTCCCGCCGCCGCCACCAGGGGAAGAGCCGGGCTCCCGGAGCTCACCACGCGGAGGCAGTTGCGAAGAACCGCGCAGACCGAGCAGTAGCACCGACACAGCTGCGCGCCACCCCCACCTCCGCCCGTATTTAAGGCCGGCCCACCCTGGCACCACCCCCCTGCGCGCGCCCTTCCGCGCGCGCCTCTGCGCCTGCGTGCCCAGACCGTTGCGCCGGGTCGAGGCGGGGCCGCGCGCGCTTCGGGGGGCGGGAGCGCCTCCGGGCTGGGGGCTCGGGCCGGGTGGGAGGGACGGTGACTGGGTGGGACCCCGAGATCGCCTTCCTCCCGGTCCGTAAACCCAGCCCCCGCCTCCCAACGCGAGAAGCGAACGCACCTTCTGTGCAGAGTCGGTCAGCCTGCCCGGAGAGGCGGCGTGCGCCCTGATGTGGCAGCGCCCCCCGAAACCTCACCGCGATCGCCCGGTGTTCATTGTCCAGAATTCCCACGTATGGCGCGGGGTTGGAGTGCAGAAAGGACATGGAAGCCCCGAGAGGTTGTTGAGACATTGAAAGAAGGATATTGTCTTTTCTTTATTTTTCCAAAAGAGAAAGCAAATTTCCTTAAAACAAAACAAAACAAACCACAAAAACCCCGTCTCTGGAGTCGGTGTTCGGCTCCACCTTCAAGTGCCGGTTCCCGTAGGGACGCCGGTTCGTGTCCTGGCTGCTCCCTGGGAAAGCATCCGGGGAAGGCCCAGAGTCTTGGGCCGTTGCACCCACGTGGGAAAGCTGGAGGAGGCTCCTGGCTTCGGATCAGCTCAAATATGGCCGTGTGGTCATTTGGGTGGAAAATCTGTCTCTCGTTTTCTCTTTAAATCTACCTTTGAAATAAAATCAATCTTAAAAAAAAAATACAAAACAAAACTTTGTTTTGGAGGTAGTGATAACTTGTGTTGTTTGAAAAGTCAACTCACCCTCCAGAACGAACTCATTGATACTGCTCATGTCTCGTATTTACCTGTTCGGATGTGTATTTCCGGCTGGTGCAGCTGGATGCTGGGGCAATAAGACTAAACAAATGCAACTTGTGCTAGCTGAGAGCTACAGTCTCTTGGCTGCTTGGGACACATAACGACCCGTGCCTTTCAGGTACAGCAGACCTGGCCGAAAGGAAAGCTTAACAGAATCCCCAGCGCACTCCATCCTGCCCGTACTGCTCAGGGGGGCACAACCTCTTGACCTTTTGTTGTTCGCTCCTTGGAGGACCTTCTATGTGCCAGGCCCCGGCCTCTAACGAAGCCCATTGTGTCCCTGGCCCCCCAGGAAGGGAAGGTGATCACATATTGGGCAGTCCTAGAACATAGGCAAGACTACCAAGGTGATGCGGTCCAAGATGGTAGAGGGCTTGGACCAGCCTTGCTAGTTACAGCTGACGGCTGTAGGGGCGTGGGGGAGGGGAGACCGAAGGAGGCAAAGTTCATGAACTTTCAAGGCAAAGGGAACTGGAATTTCTGCAAAAACCTTGGGGGAGGGAATGAGAAGAGAAGGAGGCCTGTGTGGCTGGAGAGGCAGGGAAGCAGCTTCCCGCTGGGACCGCGAGGCTGGTAGTCCTGACCTTGGGAGCACTGTGAGCAGGCCACTCATCTTCCCTTCCAGCTTCACACCTCCTTAAATGTGCGACTGCCCATATATAACTCACGCTTTTACCCCAGAGCCTGGCAGGTGCAGGTTGAATAAGTGATTTAGGGAGTGAGGCTTTCCCACAATGAAGAATCACTTGAAGTTGATCATTTGAAGTTGAACCAGTTCCACAATGTATAAACATGAGCAAGAACGCATCAAGCTAGGAGCTCCTGGTAGGGCTAATTTGTTATTTTTAGAAAATTGTCTCACGTTGATAATCTCACTGTGGTCTTTTGAAATGACCAAGTAGATTCTGTTTCCCTCAGCTTAAATCCTTTGAATATCTGACTTCTAGCTGGAGCTCAATAAATACTACTTGACTCAAGGTGGGTCCACCCAAGTCTTGCTCATTTATTCATTGCACTGAGGGGAGGCATGAGTCAGAATTAGCTGAGAGGGAAGGAGGTGGTGCCTATAACCCACGTGCTGAAGGAAGGAAAGACGCCGGGTAACTCAGTGAGAACGGGCGCTGCTGGCCACTGGTTTCAGCCTCCCGGGGCGCTGGATGTGGAGAGAACAGCCCAGCTTCAAGTCTCACATGTAGCAATTTCTGTACGTACCTGCTGTGCGTCTGAGCTTCTTCAAGTAGGGGGTAATAGGACTCAAAATAGCATCTTACACATGGCTTAACTAAGATATCACTGGGGAAGTCTATGGATGAACTAAAGAAACATTTTATCCGAGCTCTCTGCTCTGCCACAAGAGTGAAAAAGTAATGGAGTAATGGGCTGTGGATTTCAACAGGAGCAGGTGGGGTGCCTCTGTGTAAAAGAAACACTGCAAAAGACTGAGGGAAAATGAATAAAGTTTTAAGAAAGACCTAAGAGACAGGGAAACTTAGGTCTGACTAAAGGGACAAGAATAAAGAAATACCCGTCTTTCAATTTCCTAAGTCAATTCCTCAGTTACCATGCGCCAGCCCAAAGCTCCTGCCTGGTATTGTTTAACTCCCAGAACGCATCTGAAATGCACTTAGGCACTGCTCAGAGCTTAGATCCTATCAAGCCAGATCATAGCTGAGATAGCCACAGGCTTGTTTTTCCTCTCTAGGGCCAGTAGGGACTGGGCTGCACCAGCTACCTTACCTGGAGATCAGAGTCCAGTTTCAGATTTAATCTCTGGTTCACTTGCCATAGCATTGTCATACCTGGCTTTCTAGTCCACAGACTTGTTTCTTACTTTCTTACACAACTTTCCCAATATTTCTTGCAAAAAAAAAAAAAAAAAGAAAGAAAGAAAAAGAAAACAGTCTGACCTTGGCTGTATCCCATGCCCTGTTTCTTTTTTAACAATGTGATGGTCTCTGAGCAGGCAGGATCCCTCCCTGACCTGGGGTTGTTGCTTTCTGACTCACGACGTTCCCATAAAGTAACTTCCTTATCATGGTGAGTGATAATAACAAATAATCCCTTCCTATGCCTTTCTAATGGGAATCACCGCTGTTCTGTTATGAATAGCCAAGCCTCGGTGCTGTACTTGAGGCCATTTGGGTGAACCCAGCAGCAACCTTGTGTGGCCGCTGCAATCCGTAGCCCCTTTTCTCCAGGCTCAGAAGCAAGGAGCAGTGTTTTTTTCTGTTCTGCTCCAGTTCTCAACTCTTGTATTTTATTACTGTGAGTTTGTCTTGCTGCTTCGGTTACATAGTAATTATTGAGTTGTATGTGTCACAAAGTAAAAAAAGGCTCTCCTTTGAATTTAAAATTTAAAAAAGGGATTTAGTTGTTTTAAGGTGGGATGAAGAAAATGGAAGTCTCCGTTATAATTTCATTTACTCTAAAGTGACATTTTCTTTTTCTTCTACAAAAGGTACAGATAAGTTAGCAAACTTGGAAAATTAAGAAACCTTATTAAATTGAGGCATTAAGATGTTTTAAAAGGGACCAGTCAATCCAAGGAGTGATTGCAGCACTCCATAAGCAGATTTTTTTTTTTTTTTTGGCTTCACCATGGATTAACTTCTCTTTCATGGAAATAAAGATAGGATGTTCGGATCTACGATGCATTTCCTGTTTCCTCAAGTGGCAGAAGCACAGTGTTTGTGTGCGGTTTTCCGTAGCCCATGGCAGTGTTTACTGGGAGGCTGGCTGCTCCTCCCCCATTCGTTATCGGGCGGGGGAAGGTGTCTGTGCCTCGGGGTTATCTCATCCCCAAGGCATGACTTCACATGCCAGAACTCAACAACTCCCGCTTCTTCTGGGGATGGCTGCTATTGCTATGTGAAAAGTCTTCATTTTTTATTTGAGGATAAAGGCTAATGAAAGAATCCTTGCCTGTAAGAGAAATGTCAGGAAGTTGTGGAGCACAGGGCTTGTTTTGATCTGGGTTCAAACAAACAAACTTTAAAAGAGATGACTGACAGGACATCAAGAAATACCGTCACTGAATTGTTGATATTAATCAACTGCTGTGATGATATTTTAGAAACAGGAGTCCTTAAAAAAAGAGTCCTTCTTATTTAGAAATAAGTGTTCAAATGTCTGCAGCTGAAGTAATCTGATGTCTGGGATTCTTTGCAAAATATTTTAGATTGCTAGGGACAGGGAAATGGGTGGGTAGATGCTCGATCCCTGATGATGTGATGACTGCTGAAGCTGGGATGGATACACAGTTTGCAACATTATTTGTTATCATTACTGTTTTGCATTTCTTTGAGATTTCCTTTATAAAAATATTTGTTACCGATTTATTTGTTTTTATTTCAAAGCAAAGTATACAGAGAAGGAAAGACAAAGATTTTTGTTTCTAACCACAACAGCCAGAGTTGAGCCGACTGCATCTTTACCGTTGCATTGAAGGTCCACCCCATAGTATTTTTTACACTGTAAATTTCAACTAGGAAAAGCTCATCAAAATGAGCATCCAAAAAAATTATGAGCCTCTGCAAACTATATGTAAATTTTGTTCTTCTATATGTGCCAACTTTTTTTTTTTTGGTACAGATGAGCTCATAGATTTCATAATATTATCAAGTAATGTGACAAAGGATTAAGAGTCACTACCTTGAATGAACTAATCTGTAAATCCCAGATAAGTACAATGAGAGTCTAGATCTGTTAACAGGAAGTTAAAGCTGGAATTAGGTGAGGTGTCACAGGATGCAGGTGCAGGGTTCAAGAATAAGATGCTGTGCTGTGCTGCGCGCTGGTCATAAACTTACATATCCATGTGTAACAATGTCTGGAATTGAGAAAGAGGAAAAGAAAGTTATAACAGATAGTGTCAGTAAGCATGCTTTACTTGAAAAGAATATATATTTTTTGAAGATTTATTTATTTTTATTGGAAAAGCAGATTTACAGAGAGGAGAGACAGAGAGAAAGCTCTTCCATCTACCGGTTCACTCCCCAAGTGGCTGTAACAGAACTGAGCTGATCTGAAGCCAGGTGCCAGGAGATTCCTCCAGGTTTCACACGCAGGTGCAGGGTCCTAAGGCTTTGGGCCATCCTCCA